CGGGGCATCAGAAAAGTGTTCTTATTCGCGAAGTCCCATTTGAATGTATGTGAACCCATAATTTTGTATAGTATGACATGCATATCAAAATGAAGCTCTTTTCATGCTCCATGCCAGTGGGTACTTTATTTTCATACTATACAATTAAAAGGAACTATAAAGTCAATATGGAAGGGAAATAGATTGAAAAATTAGCCTTTTGGAGCCATCTACAGGGACATGAAAGCACCCCCCCCCCCCCCCCTCAGCTGCATCTTCTTGCATGTGTGCCTTTGTCCATCGTTCTGGTACTTCTGCATGACAGGTACTTGAAATAGCTGTCAAAAGCCCAGAAAGTCATTATTCAAGCAGTGAATATGACCGTGGGGCACTAAAATAATGGCGCGGTACGCAAATTGTCGTTGTATCCGAAGTTCAATGTATACAGTTAGATGGGACTTTGCTCTGGGCATGGAAATTCTGTCATTATTCGCGAATTGTCGTTATATCCGCAGTGGTTATTAGCAAAGTCGACTGTAAATGTACCTGAACCTTGTAGAGTGGTCCAACATGGGTCAAACCCAAAGGACCGTGCTGTGGTGTGACAGATATGGTGCATAGATAAACTGTGTTGCGTGTGGAATAATTGAAGAAGCTTGTGAGGGTGTGTACGCTCTGTAATTTTTGCTATAAAAATCACTTATAGAACACAATGGCTTACCATCTGGAATACTGGCAGCCACTGATCTGTCTGTCCGGTCGGTCCACAGGGAGAGGTGCTTGAGCGAGTGCTGTATGCTGGACAGGTGGGCAATCAGGTTCTGACAGGAGTGAAGTCGGTTGCCGTGCAGGATCACCGTTTCCAGGCGAGCACTGCGGCCCAGGGCGGACACATTCGAGATGTCAGCGATGGCATTGTGCGAGGCATCGAGCCATTGAAGTGACCTGTCCGAATGGACACAACACACAGCAGAACATGTGTTTAGTGATAACTCCACCAGGTGCATGGAATTGAAAACTGACTTTACAGCTGTGTTGTGGTCTTTTGTGCACATACTTGCATGCATGTCTGCTGAAATATTCACCCAATTTCGACTGCCCTGTTAAAACATGGTGTTGGGGGGGGGGGGGTCTGATGGCTCATCTCCAGAAGAGTGTACGGAGGCTGCACGCAGCTAATCTCCTTTTTTGCTTCGCCGCTACTATACCAGGCCCGGCGGAACTAGTCCGGTTTTGATCACTAACGTGTGTGTTACTCCTGGTTAGGTCATGTGTAGCCACCATATCATACAGAAATGGGTCATGTGTAGCCACCATATCATACAGAAATAGGTCATGTGTAGCCACCATATCATACAGAAATAGGTCATGTGTAGCCACCATATCATACAGAAATAGGTCATGTGTAGCCACCATATCATACAGAAATAGGTCATGTGTAGCCACCATATCATACAGAAATAGGTCATGTGTAGCCACCATGTCATACAGAAATAGGTCATGTGTAGCCACCATATCATACAGAAATAGGTCATGTGTAGCCACCATATCATACAGAAATAGGTCATGTGTAGCCACCATATCATACAGAAATAGGTCATGTGTAGCCACCATATCATACAGAAATAGGTCATGTGTAGCCACCATGTCATACAGAAATAGGTCATGTGTAAATATGATACACAAGTATGAAAGGCTAGAGTATAACCAGATCAATCAGAAACTCCTTTCCCCGGTCATGTTGCCCTGTTGCATCTTGCACTGAATATACATACCACAGGTTTTAAAGCCACCACCGCTTTAGGAGCTGCATCTGCTCCTTGATCCTAGTGGGTGGTGGCGTTCCTGCGGAAGCGGAAAACTCGGACCGTGAATTTTTTAAAGCTACACTTTAATATCAGTGAAGAGGCTTTATTCGTTGATGCCCATCTCGATAAGAAGAGGCTTTGACTATCCAGGTCAAGACATGCACGCAACGTGGCAGAGTCCTGAAGTGGGAGTGCGACTTTAGTCAGAGAAAGTACGGTGTCTAATTCCGGACCGGTAATTTGGTGGCGGCTGTGTGTGTATGTGTGTGTGTGGGGGGGGGGGGGTGCAGTTAGGACATTGGAATCAAACTCGCAGTGTTCTGAGCACACCACTGCATCACGTGAACTTATTTGCAGGGTTTCATCCCGGTTGTGCATTTGTACCGGCACACGAGTCGTCTTCCGCACGCTCGATGCAAATCTCCAGTAAGCGGTAAAGGTACAAGATGCAAACGGATGGCTGGACTCGATCAAGTCTGCTCACCCGAGTGCGTGAGCAGAGCACGCACATGGCCTGTTATATGATCAGGAGATCTACAGACTACAAAAAGCAGTGCTATTCATTGTTGTAACTGGGCAATCGCATCTTGCATCTCTTTGGCTATACCAGACTGTTTGCTTTTCGATAGTGTCCAGTATTGAAGGTAGGCTAAATTAATTATTTTTAGAAATACTTTTTTTAAGGAGCACCAACACGTACGCAAGATGTTCGAGACTTTCCAACGCTTCCAGCCGATTGCAAGAGATGTTGAGGACCTTCAGCTGCCTCAAGCACTCAAGTCCACGCATGGAAACAAGCTGATTAGCTGAAACATCCAGCGACACCAGGTTCACCACTCGCTCCAAGCCGGCCAGCTCTCGAAGAACATTGCAGTGCGCGTTGATGTGGCGCAGGAGCGGCTGAAGCGGTGCATCCAAGAGCGAGGACAGTTCACTGTCCACCAGGCACAAGGAGTTGGCCTCCATGGCAGGACACGGGTGCGCTACGGCGACCGATGAACAACCGATCGATTCAGAAGGAAAATAGCCATTCAAACCATTATTTTCAGTTACAGCTGCTTTTGTTCCAAGGTGAAAATGTTATGAGGTTGGATTTTTTGAATTTCCCGCTGTCAACATTATTAAAAAAATTCTGTGACACGTCACTCTCACAGTGTCGGTAGGGCCATGTGCTACCGGTATCGTATACCGATACCGTATACGCGTATGTAGC